CGGTCCGATTATTGGTAGCTGTTTTGAATAAATAACAGTTTCTTCAAACAACAGCCGTGGCCAAAACGGCTCAGGCGAGCTAGGCCACGCCCCTTCTCTGCTCGTCTGGACCCTCTCTACGAGGCATCGTTCGATGGGTATGGTTCACATCGGTGAGGTGTGTCTAACAGTTGCTGAAAATTTTATTGCGACTTGTACTATTTGAAATTCCCACAAGGTAAAAACCATGGATTCTGATCAGTAATTCCTCCGTGATATCATCTCCCAACCATCCTCAAGGGTTTACGATGAGAACTTTTTCGTGGGGCGAATAAATTATTGTACCGTATTCCAAAATGGGACGTGCGTAGGTCTTACAGGCACAAGGGAGGATTTCTAGGTCCCTGCGACGAACAGCTCTGGGAAGCTCTTGAAGGCAAATTGTACATTCACCTCCGCGACTTCTGATCCTTGTCATGTGTGAGGTGAATGGATTCGCAGCCGCCATTTTCTAAAGTCAAAAGGGCATGGAAACCGGGCTGGAGGGTAGTGATGAGAGTGCCGCCTCGTGCTCCGTCCGCGCCTCTGCACGGCCAGTCACGCGCCTAACCGCCTAACCATAGCCAAACGTGCTACTTGTCAGTGCCCTCTCACCCATGGTTAGTCTCCACCGCGGGATGCCCAATTCGCTGTGGACTCTTGGTACCGATGCAAGTGCTACACTGAGGATAGCGCGGGCGGAGTGTGGAGAACGCATGCGAGTATTATGACCTCTAGCCCTGTTCCTATGCATTTTGGCAGCGTTCAGACTTCGCGATGGCAGCGCTTCGGTCGCGCGTTCGACGCGATCGATGCAGTCGAAAGCATGCGCATCGATCGTCGAATCGCGCGACCGAAGCGCTGCAGTCACGAAGTCTGAACGCTGCTTTGAGGTGAAAAAGTGGCTTGCTACGGTAGCTGTGGACCCATTCACCCTGCACATGAAAAGGGCCCATCTCATATGTGTGGGTACGGCTTCCCTCAAATACTCGTCTTAGCTTCGGCAGGACCCGACTGGGTCCAATGCGATGCTCCGTATTCCTCGAACAAGACTTTCAATATGTTGAAGCGTTCCTCAAACTTCAAAAT